GAAAGTGAAGAGGAGGGTTGAGCAGCACACTGTGAAACCCAAGAGCTGGTCGGTGATCCTCTGGCACGTTCACTCCACTGTCAGTGACGCTCACTCCACTGTAAGTGGCGGGTGGGGCCTGGGCGTGTTGGACAAATCGAGGCCGGTGCCCTCATTAAACACTCTGCGCCGCTGCTTGTGCGCCAAGCGCAGAACCGAAGCCTTGGGAAGCAGTGTCCCCCGCCTGACGGCTGACTCGCTGGGCCAGACCCCTGTATTAACCAAGTGCTGGTGGAGCCTGAAGCAGCCCTCTCCCCTTTGGCCTCCTGCTTCTGCTTGTGGATGGTGTCGTCAGGTTCTCACCGAATCACTGAAGAATAAGAATCTCCTATCGTTAAGTTTCCAAATCACCCTCTGGACATCATCCCGGTTTCCAAAAGAAATGTTTTGAAAGATCCCAATGGCGAGTTGTGTCTCTCAGAAGAAAAGGGGGAAAAAAATGCTCATTGTAAATAAGTACTGCTTGAGGCCTGGCCCGTCTGCAGAGTCTTCTCTGTTACAGGTTGAAAATGAAGTGCTGGTGAAGAGACATTTCAGATAAAAGGTTTATTTAATTTGTGAGATTAAACGAACAACAAAAAAAAAAGGTTGGCTCCTCTCGAAAGTTTACAGAAGCTGAGAGAAGAATGTGGTCACGCCCACTGATTTGTCTGGAAAAGGAATGTAAAGTGCAAAATATCCCTGAGAAATGACTTTTGATTTGCCTTCCAACAATGGATGGGGGTCATCGGAGGGTTTCTGCGGGGCTGGCAGCAATGGTGCTAATTCCCCCCAAGTCTCTCGAGAAAACGTTTCAAGGTACAGATCTGTGGCTGCTGAAGTCTCAGACGTCTCTCATCTCTCTGGAGGCACTTATGTGATTTTCTTTTAACTAAAGTTTGCCCCTTCTGTTCTTGGAGAGAGCAAATGTCGGTGAAAAAAATTTTCTTAGAGAAACTGACGTTGGCAGCTGTGTCGATGAATGGTAAACTTGAGGGGATGTGCTGGCCTCGGTGACAGGGGAGGCAGCACACCCAAGCGAACCTCACAAAGAATGCCTCAGTGTCCCCTTAGGCAAGCAATGGCAGCCAAGCAGTTACCCAGTTCACACACATCTGATCTCCATGCTTCCCTGCTCAGCAACACCTAGCCTTAATCTGGCAGCTGGAGACATGAGGGGAGGGGGTGAGGAGGAGTCACACACCACAGCTGCCTATCTGCAGCCCTGGCAGGGCTTAGGAATACTTACTTCCCTGCCTTTCATGAGGGGATTACATGCAAGAACACCGTTTAACCCTCACCGAGCTCGGCTATGCCTCTGGGACACAGGCAGCCTTGGAAAGGGAATTTGGGGCCAACCAGGGGTCTTGTGCCCTGAGATGAGGGTGTTCCACTGGCAGCCAAAGCCTCTGGGAAGCAGCCAGTAGGAGTGAGGGCAGGGGTGGAAAAGGAGAAATGGGGTGAGAAATGGCAGAGATGGCACCAAGTAAACAGAGCTTAAAACCTGAGGCGTAGAGTCAAACCCTGCCAGCTCCGTACTACCCCCAAGATAGGTTTCTCTTAAGACTGCTCCCCTCGAGCCTGCCAGACAGCCTTTGGTGTTCACTTTCTCCTGGTTTTACCCAGATGAAAATCACGGTGGGCTGCAGAAAGTGGGACCCAAGAGATGAGTCTGAGACATAAAAGCCATGGTCATGATGGATAACAGGCGATATTGATGTTCCCTTTAGCAGCCATCAGCGACAGACACAGCGGCTCTGCGGCTTTCACTCCAGCCCCACCTTCCGCAGGTGCACCCAGGTCTGGGCTTTCCGAGCAGCTCCAACGGGGAGGGCACCAGCCCCGGTCTCTCTCTGCTCTGCTTTGTTCAAAGCCCACAGCCTCTGACAAGAACAAGAACTCTCGCTTCCACAGTGAGCTGCTAAAAATAGCTACCTGGTCAACAAGCATGGAACTGTGATTACGGGCTTTCTATATTTTTACTGGCTTCTTTACCATTCTTTTTTCTTTTATTGAAAAAAAAGAGTATTGGTTAAGAGGAAATAATCCATCACCTTAATTATACCACTTTTCGGTTCTTTTCTCCCTCTTCCCTTCACACAGTTTTTCATTTGTTAGAGCTCAAATGCTAGAAAAAGATGCATGACGGCACTATGTGTACAGGCACTGCTTAAAAAAAAAGAAAATGCACACCAGCTACATTGTTTGAAATGTGACTCATAACAACAATAAAAAAGTCTTCTTAAAAATCACATGACAACACGGCTTATTCATTCTCTCTTCTCATCCCCTCTCTATGCCTTCTCTTTTCCTCCCTGGCTTGTTTCTCTTCATTACTGATCACACCCTGATAGACAATCAAAATATACACACTAAGCCGGAAACACAGGGCGATTCCAATAAATAGAAAATGTTTCATGGCAAGCAGTAAGTAAGAAGCAGTAAATGAAAGACGCTTCAAAATACAAAAGATCAAGAATACCCACTAAGCCCAGGTCCAGAGGCCAATTTTACCGCCTTTCCTTAAAGATTTACCTCGTTTTTTCCCAAGGAATGGGTTGGCTTCTAGCTCATGGCTAATTTACAATGGAAAAGAAAAACAACCCCAATTCAAAAAGCCATACAAACCAAGCAAAGACGGGTTGTTAACGGTATTTCACCATTCACTTTTCACCTCTTGCCTGCCCAAACCTGATTTCTCTTTGTTTCTCTTTTTGCATGAGAAGATTGATTTAATCCCAAGGCACCTACAGCCCTACAGAGAGAGCAGCCACTGCCCTGGAAAGCAGGCAAACAGGATGCCAGTCACTAAGTTAGACAGAACAAATGGTCCTTTCCTTTCTCAGATGGAAGGTTTCGCTTGAGTCAACACAGTGTGGCATGCTCAGGTCACATGGGCCTCAGCCCAAAGCAGACTCCTTGGCCCTCCCTGGGTTCATATGGCTACCAACATGGAGTTCCATGGATAACCTGCCAGTGTAATTGAAATTGTCCATTCTCAATTCTGAACCCACTCTTGACCCTGTTCCTTGGTCAAGTCTCTGCTCCCCAAGACTTGGTTTCCTCCTTCCAAAGACGCTCATCACCTCCCAGGATAGCCACCAGCCAAGCCATGCCACTCGCGAACTGCCTTGGCTTCACCCGCAAACCAGGCCCTTGGGAGCGCACTGAAAATTCTTACCTTCAAGTCACTAAGCCCTGTGTTTATTTTGGCTAAACGAGCACTGCAGCTCAGATGATATTTTATTTATATATATTTTACAAGAGAACATGACTGGACTGTGAAGCCTTACGGTAAACACAGCCTCAAGGAGAGCACATGAGCCCCAGTTTGTTTGTTCTGTAATGGAAACAAAGCACTTAGCCACCATGCTTGTCAGTCATGGCCCAGACACGCGTGCCCACACAGAGTGGAGTCTGCGGCCTTGCCGTGTGTCTTTAACCAGCCTTTCCTGGGAGCGTGGAGTCTCAACAACCAATATGAGTCAGGTGAAATGACAGAGCAGGTGTCACTTCCCCAACATAAACATTACCTTGGGTCCTGAAGGTTAGAACTTGAATTCAACCGTAATCCAAGTCATTCAGTTTTGAGCTCAGCTTTCCTTCCAATACTTTAGGTCCACATTTACACCCATCTCACACCCAAAGCATACCAGCATGAACACTCTCAATACTTATAATGCGCAATGGGGCGTGGGGATAGGTTTAGGGAGGCGAGGTAGGGTGAGAAAGAAAGAAAAGGTAATCGATGTTGGTCTGTCATTCCCTATTCAGCCTCTCTTCCTCATCTATGGTCTTAGAGCTGTGGGTGCTGAGTGGCAAATTAGGCAAGATGATTTGGAATCAGAGAGCGTATCTAGGTGGCAAATCAGGAATTCATCTCTTTCTAGCCAGGAGCTGGACAGATGAATGAGTGACGATAACCAGTCTAGACTTCAGATATTAAAATGATTTCCCTTATCTCTGAAATGCTGTCAACCATGGGGCTAAGGCCAGCCAGTACTAACAGGGCACAGCCACCCTCACCACTGTTTGCATAAAATAAGCTACAAAAAATCTTGCTGGGTGAGGGTGAGTGCTTTCACACTCAGGACAACTGCATCAAGGGCGATAAAGTGGCTACAAAACACAGCATTAGAGCTCAGGCGCACCCCTTCACAGTGTCAACTAACCAGATTGCAAAGAGAACAAAATGTGAATCCAAAGTATTCTAACAACACAGATGTATCATCACCCAAGGTAGGACCATGTTATTCTCCCTGCATGAGGCGAGCATACCAAACTTTTCTCTTTGCTCTCTGTTCTCTGTTTACTTTATTGGGGAGAAAAATAACCTGTTCCTCAGACCTGTATTAAAAGTGCTCTAAAACCAGTCATCAGCTGTGTTTCCTATTCTGTTTATGCAACTCCAGCTCCTAAATCCTGCAACTTCTTAGGGTTATCATTCTTTCTGTCTGTCTTTCCCCTAATTTTCTTCCTCATCAAACTGCCTGCCACTGTACCTCACTGTGGGTTAATTGAGACGGCTGCCTTGGTACCCTGCAACTGGAAAGAAATACTCTTCAGGCTAAAATAAATCATTGCCACCTCATTTCACTTTTAATTTACTACTGATTTTTTTTTTCTTCTGTCTCCCCGCAGCCTCTCCTTTCTCACCACTCATGCATTTTCAGCCTCATTGCTCCCCGTTGGACAATGCAAGGCTGAAAGGTTTATCTGTAACCTATTTGTCTCTATTATAGGTTTCTAAACTTTAATTAAACAAGAGACAGTGAGGATCTCAATCCCTTTTTTCCCAGTCGCTACAGGTGTTGCGGGTGCCATCTAGTGGCGGGAATGTGTGATGTCCATTGATATTTGTCTATTTTCTCTTAGGAGCTATTTGTCTAGTTCAGGGGTTTATTCCCACCACCAAATTCACATCACATGGGGAGGGGGAGGAAAAGGCATGCAAAAATTAAGTATGTATATATTTTTTTTACCTTTAAAATTCTCACCTGCAAAAGCTGAGATGGGTTCTGGAAAAAAAAAAAGAAAAAGAAAAACTTTGAGTTAGGTAAGAGGCAAAAAGAAACGGGCAAACACTGGGTATGAGAAAGACAACGTCCATTAAGTTTTCTCTTTCTTGTAATGCCCCATGGAAAGTGTCCCACGCCCTCCACAGGCTCTAGACCGTGTCTAACACATCATCATTGTGGGGGGCGGGTGGGTGGAGAGAGATTCTCAAAGTTGCTTTGGAACAAAAAGTCCTTTATAGAGTAATGGGTCCCTGAAGCATTGTAATCACTCACTTACCACTGATTACTTTCTCAGAGCCTGGATTACTTTTAGATGCCCGGGGCCTGAGGGTTGCCTGGAGGGATGAGGGCGTCCCAGGTGCTGCTGACATCATCGGCACACGCACACTGGGGACAGAGTTATTCACTCTGCCAACTGAGAGCAGATCCCTTTCCTTCTTAGGATTCCCTCTTTTTTTTTTAAAAGAGGCATGTATTTTTATTTATTTATTTGTTTTTTGTTTATTTGTTTGTTTATACAAGCACTGGGTACAGTCAGAAGCACGGGAGGGTGAGAGAATTCACCAGAGCCAGAGCGGGGAGCAGAGCAGGCAGAAGGACCGAAGTACACTGCTGAGGGGAGCAGCGGGCGGCAGGAGAGGTCTGCGCACCATGTGGGACCCTCCTCTGGTGGCCGGGGAGCAGCCGGGGATCGATCTGGCGCCGCAGAGGCCGCGGGCAGCTTCGCAACCCAGCGCTCAACCGCTGTGCCACCGGGGAGGCCCAGGATTCCCTCTTGATCTGGGACTGTGGATGGCTCTCATGGGAGATGGTCAGGGTCCCCTGGGGTGGCCTGGGTCCAGTGTGGGCATCTCAGGTGAGCTGGCTGCTCACCTGCTCTGTCCAAGGTGAGATAGTTACAGTGCCCTTCCTGCACTGGACACCTAGCATGTAATATTTAATCTTACAGTCTCTCTGGGATCTTGGGTATTAGAAGTATTAGCTTTAAAACAAAATCTAAAACCTGACTTCATATGCCATAGTTTGTGCCCTGCAATTCATTCATGTAAAAGAATGACTTGGGTAATTGTGCTATCACTCTGATATAACGTATGTACTATTTTTGCTCACTAGTGAAAGGCTTCCATTAAATCCACCAAACCTCTCCAGCATGTAATTCTGACTGGCAGTTGCTCTCATTTTCTAGCATATTCTTTGCTAAAAGCTGGAGTCAGACGATGGGGTCTTAGCACCCTGAATCTCCATATACTTTCTGCATGTCTATTTCTGAATGGGAAAAGGCGTAGAAGACTTCACCTGATCTCACATCTCTGCCATTCTGGTTGCAGCCTAAGATACAAATATACACACACTTCCCTTCCCGCACAGGACAGGACCTCCCTGTGCCTGCCCTACCCCTGGGGGACAACTGTGGTTGGAAAGGGTGTGCTGCTTCCTCTTGTATATCCTAGTCCTGGTGTCTCCTTTGGAAGATCCCCAAAAAGACAGTCACGTACCCATACAGTTCTCCAGCGGGACATCAGTGCTTATTCGAATGTCATCAATGGCAATTTCTCCTGAACGTCCTTTTCCTATAACTCCCTCGAACACAATCTGGAAACCAGAAGAACAAGAGCCCTGGTTAACTGAGCTTCCCAGCCCACACAGTGCAAAGTTTTCCAATGTTCTGTTAATTGCAGCTTAAAACTCATGCGTGCCTGTGCATGTGTGTGCCTGTGTGTGTGTGGGTGGGGGGAGGGTGTGCGTGTAGGTGCGTGCCTGTTACTGCACCTGGTCCACATCTTTTGACCACATGGCTACAGCACTTGAGATCTTAATTTAAAGAATTAGTTCAAACCAAATGCATGTTTGAGGGAATAAAAAAAATATAACAAGGTGATGGATATTTTTGCCCAGTAACTAGAACGTATTGATTAAAGATGACAATCGGAGCATGTTTAGAGAAGGGCTGAAATTTCTCTAACCATTCTTGAGGTTCCTTTCCCATAAATCTTTCACATGACCAATCCAGATATTTGAAAACTCAGGAGACATAGGCAGGTGGGGGTCAGGTGAGAAATACAGAGTATAGGTTCAGACTGCCTTGGGGTAACACTGTCATGATTCCATTATTACAGCTAGGAGCGAAAAGATCTGTTCTTTCTCTGTAGTTCACAGGACACCTCTCTGTGCCAGGCACAAGGACAGTTACAAAACCTTTTAAGACAAGACCATCTTCCCCAAGAAGCTCATCATCTAGTGGGTAACACAAAAATGCAAGCAGATACTAAGAATCCAATGCATTAGGGTTCATAAGTGAGAACACAAGAGGGGGCGGAGGCCCTGAGGACAGGGGACAACCTGGGGAGTGACTGCAGACTGCGCACGGCAGCCCCTCCATGCTGCGGTCTTCAATCATTCCTCATTCTTGCCCTCCCCAGGTTCTCTCTGCAAACTAGCACATGTCCTCTGGCAAGCTGAGCGAGCAGTTGGCTGCCTCACTAGCCATCTGTTGCTACTTCTCGTCTGGGGAGGAGCAGGTTAATGCTTTGGCTGGTTCTCAGTCACCTCTTCCACAGTGTGTCTACTCCTACCCAAGTTTCAGCCACAGCTGTGCATACCCATCTGTGCCTCAGTATCTCACTGTGGTGCAGATAATAGAAGGCAACTCCTGGAGTGGCTGGGAGAGAAACCTCATCTCCGCAAGACTCAGGCTTGTTGGCTACTGAGAGCCCTTTCCTGGGCTCACACTCACTGGAACAGGTCTGGGAGGTAATTCCCCTTGTGGGTGGAGGGTTTTGTTTGTTTATTTCCTTGGCTTCGGGGTCCCTTTGTTAGCCTATCTGATAGCAATCTAAAGTAAAATGAAGAGAAGAAACATTTGTTGGAGACGATTTCAGCAATATAAAAGGTAATAGGAGGAACAAAGAACCAAGTCTGGGTGTAGAGATAGGCACATTCTGAATAACAAATAAGAGTGTCATTTAGTTGCCATGGCAACCTGAGAAACACAATGAAAACAGCAGCGCTTAACCACGTTTCCTAATGATGAATGGGCACGGCCCTTTGAAATGCTCAAATACAGATCACCACCACGGCTCCCTCCTTGGGGATCTCCGCACCCGGTTCCCCTCACCACTGCACCTGATACTCCATGTCGTAGCTGGGCAAGATGATCCGCCCATGCTTCCACTCGCTGCCCTGGTCCTCGCGGATCACCCATAGGAGCTTGCTCTCCTGGGGGGCTTCACGCACCACCTGCAGCGCCACCCCGCGGTCGCCAGTGGCCTGGTACTGGAATTCCATGCACACGGGGCTGCGGGGCAGGTGCACGGGTGGGCTGATGAGCCTGCCGTACTGGCCCTCCCTCCGGCCATCACTCTGCAGTCGCAAGAAATTCCGGTCATCTGAGGGAAACAAACCCAAAGGGTCCTGGTAAATGCGTGGTAAAGACACCAGTTTGCAGTTAAGGCTCCTCCAGGGGCCTCGGCTAGACCAGAGTTGGGGTGTCCTTGTTTGCCTGGCCCTGTCCCTTTCTTAGGGTTCCTTCAGAGCCTTGATTCCCATGCTGCATCCTCTTGAAGCCCTTTCTGAGATTTTAGGTCAAGTTGGTGCCCCCTGCCTACTTCCCCTGCAACATTCTCTGCGCCACTTTTATATCCGGCACACGGCACAACTGGCCGTATGTCTTCACTGGTTGTCTGTGCCTATCTGCTCCTAGATTTGAAAGGGCCAGACCATATCTTATTTACCATTGGCTTACCCAAAGGGCCGATGCAGACTAATGGACTGAACTATAAGGGAACAGTTTATCAGGGATGAGACGGCTGCTAGGCCGCAGGATGGTTCTGGCCAGGTGGTTTATGCTTCCAGCCTTTGTCATCTTGGCTGGACACTTTCCAAATGAAAGCTGCTGAAAACCTTCTGTCTCTTCCTGGTCACTAGATGATGCCTGGGCTCTAGTGTCTGCAATTCAGAGGCTCAGTATTAACTTCAAGCAGAACAGGGGGTGGTGACTGAGGAGGGGTGATTTGGGGGGGTCTGACACACCACGCTTTTCTTTGCCCAGACTAGGGAGTCCTGAACTTGGCCTTTTTCAAAGAGCCACACAAACACATCTCTAGTGGTAACAGGTGCTGTCATCATCATTGACCAAGGCTATGTGTTTAGCAGAGAACATAGACATGTCGGGAAATTTAGGAGAGTGGGCCTTTTGGCTGACTAGTTTTCAAATACATCAGATGTGGTGTGGAAGACTGAGTTCCCACTGCTGTTGGCAGACCCCATGCCTTGCACTTATTTGTGTGGGTATCAACAGCTGCAAATCTAACTCGTGCAGAACCATTTGGGCCACTTGTGTGAGAGCTAGGTGGCATTTAAGGAGAAAATCTCTGTCTCTTTTTGGCTCCAAAACATCTTATGCCCAACACTTCTGCAAGATGGCAGGGGCACTTTTACACCATGGATCCAGCACAGCAGACACCTCGGATCATGTTAATCTGAGACATTGTGCACAAATTTCTTACTCAACAGGGACGATCAAAAGGGCTTTTCAGGGAAGGACCGGGAAGAAGCCAGGGTCTGAGATCAATAGGGCTTTCTCTGACCACTGGTGAACTGTTGCCTGTCCTACTGACCTCAGCTTTCTAGTGAGACCAGGACCCGGGACAGTCCTCCAACCAGCAGCCCACAAATAGCTCCTTCCTTGCTGGCTCCTGTAAGCCCCTTCAAGTGGAGTCTCTGGGACTATTGCTTCAGAAACTACTTTCCCCTGAAGTCAAATTAGATTCGGATGCAGAGTTGGGATTCTAGTTTGCGTCTCTGTAACCATCCAGAGCCATGTCTGTTCAATGCCCCACAACATGAGACCTCTTTATGGCCAAAGTCAGCACAGACAACTAGGCAGCTGTCCAGAGGGGGCAATTTTCATGGTGTGGGTCTGCTGAGGGAGGAGACCCTGCTGCCACAACCAGACACTCAAAGAGCTTCTAAATCTGTGTTTCGCCTATCAGATCTTATTACTTCTGCTATTAATGAAAATAATTATGTCATATTTCCATAATGCTCTACAGGTTGCAAAGCACATTTGCATGCATTATTTCATTTCATCCTTGCTACATGCTTATGAATTAGGTCTTAATAATCTTACTTGGCACAGGATGAAGAACCTGAGGCCCAGAAAGGTTCATGGGACTTGTCCGTGGCAGAGGGGCTAGCACTTCAGCTGTGACCCTGTACCTTGGCCCAAATTCATGTAACCATTGAAAGCAAACTGGCTTCCCCACTGGGCCCTGCTGGCTTTTCTCCTCTTTCCTGTAATCCTCGTCCCTTCCCACTTCACCTAGCTTGCCTCTTTTGCTTGTTCTAACCATTCTAGCATATCCGACATTATTTTTCCCCTTCTTACCACAAACTGAGAATTTACTTTTTTAAAAAAAAAAATTGTAGTTTTTAAATTGAGGTAACATTGGTTTACAACATGTATATGTGATTCAGAGGCAGAGCAGAGACTGGAGGCCATTTTGCATGCATGTCAGCAGGTAAGCACCAGTGCCTTGCACAATAACTGACCCAGTCCAGTTATAAGGTCTTGGTCTTAAACATATAAGAGATAATAATGCACCTTCCTCCTGCCCCTGTTAGTCCATCTCTACAACACTATTCAAGGAAGTTGTGTTACTGTGAATGAACAGTGAATCATGTATAAAGAATGATAGGAGGCTATCGAGTGACAAAAGGACACAGAACAGCCAGCTTTTGGTAATCCTGACGATTCATGTAATCTCTTCACAATCCCCTCCCACCCTCCTGAGCCAACAGCCCCTTTCCAAAGGTGAGGTGAACCAGTAACAGGGCGACTGGTGGAATTCCCAATATACTGAGCCACTATGAGCGCCCCACAAATGCTCATGCTCCGGTAATTTCCAAGCTCTTACCGTTTCCACCTCATATATAAAGGAAACCAGATTTCAGAGACTTATTATTCAGCCTTCTTCCTTCACAGTTTCACAAATAAGACCCACTTGCTGTCTGAAAATTGCTTGGCAGAAATACTGTCACTTGTGTGAATTTACATTCTTAAGCAGCAGGAGAACCATAGCATAATGGTTAGAATTTAGTAAGGAAGATGTGTGTGGAGGTGTAAAGAACCGGGCTGCCTGGATTTTATCTGGGTCTGTTCTAGCCACACAGCCTGTTACTAACACTTCAGGCACAATCAGACCAAAGGTTTCACAGGCTTCCTCGCCCAGGGCCCCAAGATAGCCCATCTCCTCTCCTCTCCTCCCTCTCTGGCACAACGAGATGATAATCACTCTGCATGATTTAAAGGGCCATTGGAAGACCAGGGAGTTAATGCTGGTGGCGTGCTAAGCACGAGCCGCTGAAGGATCATAATTCAGTGCTGACATCTGAGCTAATCCACTAGTTTGCAGAATCTCAAGACAAGCAGGCCTCTGAATTTCACTTAGTTAAATCATTTGTGCCCCACTTGTCTGTTAAATGCTATGAGCTCAAGGGAAGAAAGATGATATGTAAATTTAAGGAATTAGCAGTAGACATCAGTCAGAGGGACGCTGCGCTGTGAAACGTCCCTGCCTGTCAATGACAGAGGTCTGATTAGAACCAGGGCATCAGGAAGGAAAAGCCAGGGTGGTGGGAGGGGGCAGAGAAAGCAGAGACAAGAAAGTGGGTGTTAACTAAGCACCTACTGTGTGCCAGATATTGTACCAGAGGCTTTATCTGCCCTTAACCAACATAATTTAATACTTTGAAATAACTTATTGTTTTCTCCATTTTTTTTTTTTTTTACAAAAAAAGAAGCTGAGGCTCAGAGTTGAGTAACGTATTGGATACCACTGCGGGGGTGATGGTGCAGGACATGAGCCCCGATCAGCGGTGAAGACCACCAGCACCTGTACTCTCATTGGGCTTGAATCCTGGCCTGCTGCTCACTAGTCTTTTAAGGCCCCAGTCTTCCCATCTCAAAAATGGATATAACAGCATTACTGCAGAGGACTGTGGGGAAGGGTCAGTGGAAGGAGTTGCGTGAAGGGCTTTGCACAGTAAGAGCTCAATAAAAGCTACTCCTAGTAGTGTCACTACCTACACTGCCTCCCGTGCCTGCCTGATGCTTTTTTTTTCCTCTAGAAAGAATAAGGGTCAAAAGAGCACCAATCATCTGGAAAGGCCAGTCTGGGGCTGGCCAGAGGAATGTGGTTTGACCTGAGGACAGTAAAGTGTATTCTGGGGAGATGGTTCCCAGATTCGCCTAAGCCCAGAACCAGCAGCTCTGAGCTGTGCACTGTGTACTGTCCACCACCTGCCTTTCACATCAATCCATAGTGCATGAAATTTGAGAAAACACGACCCAGGAATGACAGTGGAACCTCACGAGATGGTGGAGAGTGGCCAGCCTTATAGCCCAGAGGACTTACTTACTTAGCAGTCCACCCTTTGCTTGAAATTCTCCAGGGAAAGGACTTCCACAGGTCACATGGGCCATGAGTTTTCTGCGTCACAACCCTAGGTGTCAGGAACTTCTCAGATTCAGTTTTAAGTCTTCTTGCTGTCATTTAGACACACATCCTCTTTCTGTCCTGATGGCACACAGCCAGTTTCTGTCCTCTAACTTAGGAACATTTTCACCCATGAAAAATCAAGAGCCTTAGCTCACTTCCTCAGGAAACACAACTATGGCTCCTTTAACTGTCCCCTTCCAGGCTGTGAGGTGGCAGGTTGCCCTTGACCCTTCTCTAAGCTAAGAGCTTCCGTTCTCTCAAGGCACCACACCCATCTATGTGCTGTATGGCATGTGTGCTATAAGTGAAGGTGGCTCTTCTGGAACACTCCAGTTTATGGCTCACCACTGCCAGACACAGAGAGAGTTAAGGGGCTACTGATTATGGGCTAGAGCAAGGGGCTCACATGATATGAGCCAGTGTATGACCCTCCTTAGACTTTGAGGGAAAGTCCTCTGGATTGCTAAGAGGTTGCCTGAAGATGACAGTTACCCAAGTAGGCCCCTGCCAGCCCGGAGGCTGACTTCCTGCTCTTGGAGCTGATGGCAGTGGTGCTGGGAATGGACAGCTTCCAATAAAAAGACAATGGAAAAGAAATATGTTCAGTTGCTTAAAGAGAATAAGGAAATCATGTCCCAGAGATATAATCCCTCTTTTCCCAGACCTGACATACTCAGGAGGCGTTTTGCGAGGTCCTTTACTCAAAACATCTGTTGTTGTCCATGCTACAGGGAAAACAATCTCGCGGGAACCTACAACAGGAATTCAAAAGGGCAGACAGGAAATGCAGAGGACGGGGTCATTCAGGCGTTTGAACCTGCTGCCGCCTCTGGGAAGGGTCTCCAGGTATTTCACCTGGCGATTTACGGCTGCTCTGGCTTCAGTAG